GATGGGCAGCTTCACGTCCAAGCCCAAGCTGGAGAGCGAGGCTGGGCAGGACGAGTCCGTGAAGGTGCCGGAGGACGTGGTCGGCCGGCAGGACCTCCTGGCGTGGCTCCGGACGCCCATCGCCCACCTGCCCGCCCCGCTGCCCCGCGCCTACCGCCCGCGCCCCGGCACCGTCACGCCCGCCCACGCTGCCACCGGCGACCGCCCGCCGTCCTCCGCCGAGTCTTTCAGGGTCATGCAGTGGAACATCCTTGCCCAAGGTCGGTGGCTTTCTCCTCTCGGGGCGGGAGAGCGGCGGCCGCGCTCTTCCGCCCGGCTCCTTCTCAGCTCTCTCCCAGCTCTCTCAGCTCTCTCTCTCAGCTCGATCTCAACTTTCTCTCAGCTCTTTCCCAGCTCTATCTCAGCTCTCTCTCACAGCTCTATCTCAACTTTCTTTCAGCTCTCTCTCACAGAACTATCTCAGCTCTCTCAGTTCTATCCCAGATCTCTCTTCCAGGTTTCTCCCCCAGCTCTCTCCAGGCTCTCTTCCATCTCTCTCAGCTCTCTCCCAGCTCTCTTTCAGCTCTGTCATAGCTCTAACCCATAGCTCTCTCTCCTAGCTCTTTCTCCAAGCGTTCCCTCCAAGCTCTCTCTCTCTCTATTTCTATCCCAGCTCTCTCCCCCAACTCTCTCCTAGTCCTCGCTCCTAGCTCCCCCTCTCAGCTCTCTTCCAGCTTTCTCTCAGCTCTTTCCAGGCTCTCTTCCAGCTCTCTCTCTCAGCTCCATCTCTCAGTTCTATCCAAGCTCTCTTCAGGCTCCTTCCCAGCTCTATCATAGCTCTATCCCAACTCTCCCCCAGCTCTTTCTCCAACACTTTCACACTCTCTCTCTCTTTCTCCAAGCTCTCTCTCAGCTCTCTCCGAACTCTCTCCATCTCTCTCCCACCCTCTCTCAGCTTTTCCCCAGGTGTCTCTCAGCTCTCTCCGAGCTCTCTCCCACTCTTTCCCAGTTCTCTCCCATTCTCTCTCAGCTCTTTTCTAGCTCTCTCTCTTCTCTTTCCCAACTCTCTTTCAATTCTCTCCGAGCTCTCTCCCAGTCTCTCAGCTCTCTCCCATTCTCTCTCAGCTCTCTCCGAGCTCTCTCCCACTCTCTCTCAGCTCTCTCCAAGCTCTCTCCTGCTCTCTCTCAGTTCTCTCCCACTCTCTCTCAGCTCTCTCCCACTCTCTCTCAGCTCTCTCCAAGCTCTCTCTCAGCTCTTTCCCTGCTCTCTCTCAGCTCTCCCCCACTCTCTCTGAGTTCTCTCCCACTCTCTCTCAGCTCTCTCCAAGCTCTCTCCTAGCTCTCTCTCAGCTCTTACCCTGTTCTCTCTCAGCTCTCCCCCACTCTCTCTCAGCTCTCCCCCACTCTCTCTCAGCTCTCTCCCACTCTCTCTCAGCTCTCTCCAAGCTCTCTCCTAGCTCTCTCTCAGCTCTTTCCCTGCTCTCTCTCAGCTCTCCCCCACTCTCTCTCAGCTCTCTCCCACTCTCTCTCAGCTCTCTCCCACTCCCTCTTAGCTCTCTCCGACTCTCTCGCAGCTCTCGTCGAGCTCTCTCCTACTCTCTCTCAGCTCTCTCCCAACTCTCTTTCAGCTCTCTTCCACTTGGCAGGATTCTTGTGGCTTGTGCATTCTCTTCTTCTACCTGTGTATCTATTTGTCTACCTACCTGCCTGCCTGCCTACCTACCTACCTACCTACCTACGTACCTACCTACCTACGTACCTACCTACCAACGTACCTACGTACCTACCTACCTACCTACCTATCTACCTATTTACCTACCTACCTATTTACCTACCTACCTACCTACCTTTCTACCTTTCTACCTACCTACCTACCTATCTATCTTTCTACCTACCTACCTACCTACCTCTCTATCTTTCTGTCTACCTATCTATCTATCAATTTGTGTATCTCAATGTATATCTCCGACCCCCTGTCGAATTGCCTGTGTATACGTACGAAATATTACCCTGTACGTTTATGCATTCACGTGGTAATGAGGATATCGGTTAAGAGCGTCTTAGCAAGGAGGATTTAGCAAGATGTTTGGTTTGGAGAAAGATTAATGCGGATTTAGGCGATGCGAAGTCAGTCGAAGTCACGAGGCTTGATCTCTCTGAAGTCACGAACGAGCACGTCTCTCGGGCTTAAGTGGTGAAGACGAGAAGGCGAAGTCAAGAGATGTGATGTTAATAAAAGCGCTGATACGATGTGGTTGGAGAAGTCTGCGTGAGGTTCTGGGCTGGCATGAGATACTAAGGGCTATTTCGAGGTGTGTATTTGAAAGGAAAGGAGAGTAATTTAGGGATTTAAAGGGCTGGGAATGATCGAGTGGGATTGGGGTTTGGGATTTTTTGGAGGGAGTTAATTTCAGTGGTATGAATAGCCGAGAATATTGGAAATGTCATAAAGGTATTTTGATAGATTGGGAACGCCAAGATTTACGAAATTGCTTGGAAGGTGTAGCAGGGTAAAGATCTAGATTGCAAAAATATAGAGGGTAAGATACGGATATAGTTGTGTAAGGAAATATCGAAAGGCAACGATTTCCAAATGAAGGCATTTTGATATATGAAAACCTGGGATATAAATTTCAAAAATGCCATTCTCAGATAAAAAAATAAATAATGATAATTGAATAAATAAATAAGACAACACACAAAAAACATAGCTTTCTGATATTAAAAAAATATATATATATTTTGCAAGCTGTGCTCTATTGCGCAAAGTTACACTGAACGTAAACAGTAAATTGTAGAACCCGCAGTAAGAACGGAAGCTTAACGAAACACATATCTAATAAGGCAAATTACGCTATCCAAAACCCCGTCCACGACGTTAACGAAGCACTTTCCACCCACTCGGATTGCAAAATAAGGAAACGAATTTGACAGCAAATCCATATCAAGCAGTGGACTAAATTTTGAAATGTGTATCTAGGATCTAGGATGAAATGAAAGAGAGATAGAGATAGTGAGAGAGAGAGAGAGAGAGAGAGAGAGAGAGAGAGAGAGAGAGAGAGAGAGAGAGAGAGAGAGAGAGAGAGAGAGAGAAAGTGTGCGTGTGCGTGTGTGTGTGTGTGTTTGTGTGTGTGTGTGTGTGTGTGTTTGTGTGTGTGTGTGCGCGTGTGTCCATGCGTGTGCATGTTATATCTTTCCAGCGCTGTTGGAGGCTTGCGCTCTCTGTAAGTGATAATTCGACAGGGTACGATGAAACAAGCAATGAATACATTGCATATTTATTTTATCCAATGGTTGATTTCAAACAGGGATTATTTCGTGAAAAAACTACGAGGCGAGGAAACGGGACGGACAAAAGTGAAATGCATTGCAAAATACAGGGCTGCAAAGACCACCGATTAAGACACGTGTTGAATTTAGAAATCTCCAGGCAGCTCAAGGTGTTATGGCCTCACTCATGAATATATGTCCGGCCACGCTGGGTCCCTCCTGTATTTGGGGGACATTACAGGATGTTACAGGCGATTTTCTGGCCCATTTGTTTGTTGCAATGTTCGGTCTCCTCGCTGTGATGAGAGGCGGAGGGACGGAAGGTGCGCTGTAAACCCAGTTTGGGGTGAAGATGGTGCACGCTGCCTAACACACACGCTATGTATATTTTGTATATTTGAACACACACACACACACACACACACACACACACACACACACACACACACACACACACACACACACACACACACACACACACACACACACACACACACACTATTACATATACTGACTATTACAATCTTATCGCTTTTACGAGGCATCTCTGTACATAACAGTAAGCCGAAACAGAGCAAGCCTGCCTATGCAGTCGCAAGGTCACAGGGTCTGTTGCAGCCACGTGGCGATAAATGGCTGTTGTTTTTATTCATTCTGAATGCCAGGCAACTGTGCTTCTGCTTACTGGAGTTGTTGGTTGTTTAGTGGTGTTGTTGGCTGTTTACTGGTGTAAAACAGCCATCACCAGTAAACAACACCAGTGTTATTTTTTGTTTTGTTATTGTTTGTTTATGTACGCTGTTGTTGTTCTTTTGTTTGGCTGAGTTATTGTTTTTTTTCTGCAACACCATTGATTTTTTCAGGATAGTTGATTTCTTAACTTGTAAGTAAATAAATAAGAAAACGTATTAAGTTCATTATTAAGAACAATCGTATTGTCATTAACAGCAATATAAATACTGATGTAAATGTTACTAGAAATACGAGAATCATTATTGATGTTAATGAATTTAATGATTATATGAATGAAGATGATGTTCATGCTCTTAATAATGAAAATAGTGATGATAATGACAAGGATGGCCTGATGTTGATAGTGATGTGGAAGAGGAAAATGAGAGAGATGATTATGGTAATGGTGATAACTGACCAATATTGGCACTATTAATACTAACATTAGTAATGTCAGTATTACCAACCATAATTGTGAAAACCTACGATTGGCGATGCTGATACCACTGATATAAAGAAGAAAGAGAAAAGTTTAGGAAAGAGAAAGATAGAAGAAAGAAAACAAAGCTAAAGGTAGTGGAAGAAGGAGTGAAGAATGGAAAGGGAAAGATGGAAAGAAAGAAGAAGAGAAAAAAAAAACTAAGGAAACAAACAAACAAACCAAGGAAAGAGGAAGAAAGAAAAAAAAAGGAAAGAGAAAAAACAACTAAGAAAATAAGAAATAAAAACAAAAATAAGAAAATGAGAAAGAAAGAAAGACAAACAAAATCAGAAAATGAGAAAGAAAGAAAGAAAAAAAACAAAATCAGAAAATGAGAAAGAAAGAAAGAAAGAAAAATAAATAAGAAAATGAGAAAGAAAGAAAGAAAAACAAAATCAGAAAATGAGAAAGATAGAAAGAAAAACAACAAAACAAATACAAAACAACAACAGAGGGAAGAGAAAGAAAGAACCTGCCAAGTTGTTTAGCCCATCGAGCGAAGGAGAGACCAGCAGCCATTCAAGTAAATGCCACTCGCAGATGACTCAGGCGGCGACCGATGACTGCTGATGACTTCCCGTTGGATATTATGTAACTCGCGCTTCAAGGAGGGTGCGTGGCGGTTTAATTCACTCCCTCCTCCTCCTCCTCCTCCTCCTCCTCCTCCTCCTCCTCCTCCTCCTCCTCCTCCTCCCCCTCCCCCCCTCGTTCCCTCGTCTCTTGCTTCCTTCATTGCTTCTCTTTCGTTTAATCTTCTTGTCTTCTTTTCTCTTCTACTCCCTCGTTCTTTCTTTTTCT